ACGATCTAGTATGTAACTACCACAGGGACCGTAGTACGATCTAGTATGTAACTACCACAGGGACCGTAGTACGATCTAGTATGTAACTACCACAGGGACCGTAGTACGATCTAGTATGTAACTACCACAGGGACCGTAGTACGATCTAGTATGTAACTACCACAGGGACCGTAGTACGATCTAGTATGTAACTACCACAGGGACCGTAGTACGATCTAGTATGTAACTACCACAGGGGACTGTAGTACGATCTAGTATGTAACTACCACATGGGACTGTAGTACGATCTACTATGTAACTACCACATGGGACTGTAGTACGATCTAGTATGTAACTACCACATGGGACTGTAGTAAGATCTAGTATGTAACTACCACAGGGGACTGTAGTACGATCTAGTATGTAACTACCACATGGGACTGTAGTACGATCTACTATGTAACTACCACATGGGACTGTAGTACGATCTAGTATGTAACTACGTACCACAGGGGACTGTAGCACGGTCATTGTCTCCTGTATGACAGTAATAACTTATAAAACAAATAAATATGAAATAAATTAAAGAGATGGATATGAAAATATATCACTTTATATAGAAAATGGACCAGATCGTGTTTAACGAAGTTTAAAGTTGAGAAATCCAATCGTGGTTCATGCATATGGACGTCGAATCACACGTAGACGTTGTGCAATATCCTATGTAGAAAGATATTCGAAACTGCTCTTTTAAGGCTTAATCGATTGGTTAATTTATATCTATCAATTTGCTTGTGTCCCCAGGTTGCATAAGAAATCTTTCAAAAAGATGAAATACAAAGGTGGGGTCAACATTTGGCCCCCGCTTTGATTTCTTGTATTTTCTTGCCATATGTAGATACATAAAAATGATCAATAACTGCATAAATGATTATTCATAATTATTACCGAAAACCGTAGTGGACCTCCTTGCATAACACCAGGTTGAGTGATGGGGGTACCCTAACAAAATGATAGATAGATGTCACAGGCGAATGCTATTTTGAACATCAATTATGATAGTGTACAGTGTATACAATTACTGTTATTTTGATACTAGATATGTCATATTGGTATTTATGAAGTAAGCTTAGTGATACTTTTATTTAGAAAAACATGCAAAATTTTCACAAAATTTTCAATATAATCAACTTTGTGAACTTGCCTAAATATAGTTACTTATGGTAAAAACCGATACATTTTCTGTTTTTGTATCATACCAAAACACTTTATTATATTACGCATGTTTTAAAGTTATGTGCAGCAGTTATAACTCATTAAAATGTATTCTGCCAAAGTAATCTTTCTTCTGGAGAAATACTTAAGGTTGAGATTGTGTTATAGACAACGATATGCAATTATATAAAAATAATCAAATAATCTTAATAATAAAAAAAACTATTATACACTTTATTATAACCCCTGCAACAAATTTAGGGGGTATACTGGAATCAGCTTGTCTGTCTGTCCGTAGAAAAAAGATTGTCCGGAAAACCCCTTCTAAAGTATTGGACCCATTTTAGCGAAAGTTTCCAGATATGATAACTACCACTTCAAGTTATGCATACAGGTATAATGTTTTCATTCTGATCCTTTTTTTTACAGAGTTATGGGCCTTTTATGATTTTTTGTGTCCAGACATGTCCTCCAAAACTAAGGGGTCAATTTCAACGAAAGTTTTCACATATAATAACTTCCACCTGATGGTGTGCATCCAGGTATTATTGTTTTTCAATATGACCCTTTTTAACGGAGTAATGGCCCTTTGTTGAAAATACTTTCCTGACAACTCCTCCAAAACTATGCAGCCAATTTCAACGAAAGTTTACAGATATGGTAACTACCCCTAACATAGTGCATCCAAATAGTATGTTTTCATTCCGAACCTTTAAAAGGGAATAATGGCCCTTTGTAGAAAAAGAACCTTTGTCTGCCTCATTAACTACTGGGCCGATTTCAATGAATGTTTACAGATATGGTAATTACCCCCTGATGTCGTACTTTTTTCATTTCGACCCTTTTTAAGGAGTTATGGCCCTTTGTTCAAAATCTTTGTCTTGACAACTCTTCCTTAACTACTAGGACGACTTAAGCAAAATTGGTTCATCGGGGCTAACAAGATTTGGTATGGAAGTATGGTTTGGCATGGGGAGGGAGTACAGGAAGTATGTCAGTGACATATAATCTTAAATATTTTACTGGGGGGACTATGTATTGTAATGCTTTGCCTTATTTAGCCTTTAGCTTACATTCTGGGTTATATAGGAGTGGGAGTATTAGTTAGTCTTTGGCTTACAGCTTAGTTATTATTTTATTTGGCCTTTTGCCCATTCAATAAACAAAATATGGAGGAATATTACATTATTTTATATCGTTAACTCTAAACAAATTAAGCAAGGAAGGGTATCCTTGTCCGACTCCCCTTACAAAAAATATTTTAAGCACATTTGATTTTTGTGACCTTGAGCGAAGAATGGAAAGAAAGTTATGTATTTCTTTTTTTGAATCAAAAGTGTTATATGACAAATTCACCGGTTGTCAATTTTCTTGAAATTCCTGATTTTGAAAGATATTATTGGTAGCAAACTTTTAAGCAATTATGAAATATAGACTGGTTTTAGAACTATGCAAATTAAGGTGTCGAAAATGGAAATTTTATTTGGTATATTGAAATCCTGGCTTAAAACCGGTGCAGGATTATAGTTGAGTTGGTGAGAACGACATGAGTGTACTGTAAGATATTGAACGACATGAGTTGGTGAGAACAACATGAGTGTACTGTATGATATTGAACGACGTGAGTTGGTGAGAACGACACGAGTGTACTGTATGATATTGAATGACATGAGTTGGTGAGAACGACATGAGTGTACTGTATGATATTGAACGACATGGATGCGTGTACTGTATGATATAGAACGACATGAGTGTACTGTATAATATTAAACGACATGAGTTGGTGAGAACGACGGGAGTGTACTGTATGATATTGAACGACATGGATGAGTGTACTGTATAATATTGAACGATACGAATTGGTGAGAACTGTACGAAGGTTCACATCGTCAAACTGATTCTATTCTCTGAGAAGAAATAAGAATAATAACCCCTTCTCTTTTTTTTCAAATGTATGTACTGACGAAACGGCCAGCCAAAATATATGTGTGACCGTTACCTTATTCGTATGAAAGTGTGACCATCACCATGTTCTGTTTTATGTTGTTTTCAAGTTGTTTAAATGCATCAATATAGACCTATACACATGACTGAATAAATGTTTAATTTAGTATTACTTCATTTTACCTGTAAATGTATTCTATACGCTCTCGATGTCTGTGCAAACCTTGCAAAATGTAATGAAATTCGAAAAGTGCGAGACCTTCCGTGCAAGTTTGAAGTTCAGTAAAATACTTCAAATGCAAATTTTACGGAAATCTTACGCCTGAAGCTGCATAACTTGTGCGTTATAATTTCTTTTGGGTACGAAATCAAGTCACATTCCTTCTATGAAGTTTCATAAATGAAGAGGCCCAGAGAGCCTGTATCACTCATCTGAATATTTTCGGCAACATTTTCTCATTGCAACTGTTTCACAAATTTTAGTTTTGTCGTTCAGCATCCAGAACGGAAACATCCTTCCTAAATTATACAAAATTTGATTCCCTGGTCCATAGGATGCCTTATAGTAAATTTGGTTGTAATGCGATCATTTGCTCTGGAGGAGCCCTTTTTAAATACTGTACCAAGCCAGCCCCCAGGGGAGGTGTATTCATTGTTCTTTCCTTATAGTGACTAATCATGATCAGTACAGCAAAATCACAACTGCAGTTTGTATCAAAGTTATGAACAACACTAAAGTAATGTACATTACTTATTATCTACCCAGAGTTGTCTGTCCTTGTTATCAGTTAGGACCGACGACTCGGGGTAGTTTGTTTAGGTTTAACGGGTAAGCATTACTCTGGGTAGAGATTGGTACACTATATATATACATGTATATAATTAATATATATATATGTGTGTGTGTTTTACAATGTTAAATGTCTAACCGAAGTGACATTCAGCATTCTATTTGATATGATGATACAAAGAAAATGTCAAGGAGACAGACAAATGGTAATTATTGTTTTTTCTTCCTAACAATTTATAAATAACAACAAACACTTATACATTTGTTTCTTTATCAACATTTTATTAAAAACGTATTTACCGTCCATGCACATCAATTTAAGGACTAGAAGTTCACAATAACAAATTAATAAAATAATAATAATAACAAATGTTTGTGGATATAAAGTCAATAACAACAAATGCTAATAATGTGAAGAAAAAACTTTATGATTTGTTATGTGACTTATACATACAGGTCTTTGGGACAAACTGGGAAAGCAACACAAATATTGCTGGATAAGAAATGTACATAAAAAAAACATATTTTTGGCCTACCCTAGCTATTTTTCCCAATATAAGCATATTTTAAAACATTGCCACATAGAGATACAATAACCTTTTGATCATTGTTTAATTATCAAGTGAGATTCTTTTATTCATTTCACTGCCAATTGTACTGTCATATAGCTGTAGATATCTAGTGCTTAATTATGTGGTCATTTATATTAAGCAGAGACTGTCTTAGAAAGGAGACCATCAACTCACTTCATTTTAAAGTGAATTGAAGACATGTTACAGGTTTTTTCCCCCTATACTTTGCCTTAACTCATTCACTCTTGAAATTTCATATTAAACTATTCCAATCATTGAATTGGAAGAGTTCAAATGTGTCTTCAGGGGTGAACGAGTTAAAGAGTTTGAAGCTACTCAGATCACTTATCTTTTGGAAGACTTCTATACCTAACATGTTATCTTCATATATCTCTTTTTTGTCGATAAGATTTAAACCAACTTTGTAAAAATTGGTCCAAAGTTTAAGCTTAGAGTTATCTTTTTCTAAAAATTCAATTCCCCTCTTCTTCCTTTTTTTAGGGGGGGCGGGGGGTACAAAATGTTAAAAACAATGGATATTGGTATGTTTTGTAAAACTTTCATACTCAAACCTACCTAGAAAGAACACACTTATGTTGAGAGAATGTCTTATTTGACATAACATGATTTTATCAAAAAAATGTAATGTATGACATAAGATCACTGGCCTTAGATAACAAACAACTTTTTTAATACTGGCAGCTTTTGTCTTCTGTGTTATTCACAAAGCAAAATATTAACCCTTTCACCCCTATGTAACCTGTGTAGACTCTACCATACATTGATATGGATGAGTCCATTATGGTATAACAGAGGTGAAAGGGTTAATTAACACACAATTTGTTTCCGTTAAAGCAACAAAAGGGAAATAACTCTTGCACAATGTTATACACTCTAAATTCTAATTACCGGTAATGAATTGCAAGTTTTCGAAATACATAAAATCATCTAAATAGCACTACACTGTTAGGTCAAATAATATAAAGTATAATATTACAATTGTGTTTTTATATATACACCATAAATGATATAGGGGTAGTAAGCAATGATTAGGCCATACAAAATTAACTACTTGCCAGTACTTGGTTCTCAATACGCAGTGAAATTTGTTTTTCCATCTCAGATATAATGTCATATAGGGGAAACTATTGTGCTCAAAACAATCAAAATTGTTTACTTGTTTTTGGAAGAGCCTAAAAATTGAGTGACACTAAATCTTGCTGGAGTGTTTTCTGATTTGCTTCAATTTGGTTCTAAAATGTTGATCAAGAAAACTTGATAGTGGATTCTATTTTAGGATATATTTCAGATACTTTGATATTTTTCCCTTATCTAATTACCATTGATTTCTTTACGTAGAATAAATTTCAAGAGAAATTTCACAAACTTCCATATTTCCCTCGCCTAACCATTAAAAAGAGTAGTTTGGCAAATTCAACAGAAATGTGTACATCCCCTCAGAACCAAAAAGTTAATTTATTACGGCCTTATATACTGACCAAGTAATTAAAAGTGTATGAAGTTAATACACGTACAAGGATTTAATACATCAACTCACACTTTTCTTTTAACATATGACAATTACTTACAAAACATTTTATACATTAATGCAAGTTTATCATACAACCTTTTCAGATTTTCAGAACATCCTGAATAGGGACTATAAATTTGATTCAAAGGATGTACACTTTCAATAGCCCAACACTCCGGGCCAGTAGATTTGATGCCAGGCTAGGGCTTATGTAGGTGAACATTTTCGATATTTATTCTGGAAATATAAAGTCTGTCTAATGAATACTGCAAAATCTGCCTGCAGACTCGAAATATAAAATAGTATACACCTGGGCCCACTTGTATAAAACATCTCAACTCTTGAGATTTTCTCAAGTCTAAGATTTCCCATAGACAATACATTGCTTGAGATTTTCCTTAACTTTGAGATGTTTTATACAAGTGACCCATGGCCTAACAACTCTGCTCATCCAAATTCTTCCAACTAACTGTAAGATAGTTTGTAATAAGTAGCATGACCATTGTGAAATCAACATCAATTTTAATATATAATAATAATGAAGTTTAAACAGACATATCTGTCATATGGCCTAAGTTAAATATAGCGAAAGACTCACTGTGATCGTAGCTCATCAGATCACGACAATTATAGCACTATTCAGCTTTTAAAAATGCGGCAGACACACTTTGCTGGCAAAAAGTTCGGAGACAACCGTTATCCACAGTGCCAGCACAAAGAATATGTAGGAGATCCCCACTTGGTAATTGTTCGGTAATTGGTAAGCCTTCCCTCCGATCTGTTCCATGTTGAAGCCAATTGGGAAAATCACTGCTGCTTTACAGAAAAGTACCACTGTAAGAGAGAAAAAAAAATGTTCCAATAAATTTTAAAATATCCACAGCGAACATCAAATATAACATATTTTATAAATGCCCCCATTTCATTTGTAATATATATAACCGCACATAATACTGATGTGAACCCCTCAATTTTTTCCTATTTTTTAATGACCAATTGCCTATACAATGTATACATGTATCTTGTATATATCTACTTTCAATGTGGTCAGTGTAAATTCTGCCTTTGGCAAACGCTAGCCGGGGGGAGGGGGGCTTATTGTTTTCAAAATATTTTAGTTATACCCTATTTCATTTCTAATATTCTTTTTATGTAATGTAATTGTTTCGTAGGTTTTTTCGGTGTCTCGATAAAGGAACAGATTGCTCCGAAAATTGACAACATCGTATTGTCAACACTGTAATAATTACTTCCTTGCCCCATATAAGATTATGAAATAAAACATGTAATTTGTATCCTACAAATATACGTTTGCAAGGATTATATAACTTCTTTGAACCATATCTACTTTGATGCATGTATGTATCTTTCCAAATATCTAGAAAACTAATTACCATATATAATATATCACCAAATTATGCTTGCAAAATAATGGCAGTATGATATGGCAAACTTGCCAACTCAAATATATAGTATTTGACTTATTTTGACTTAACCCTGTGAAAGGACTTTGACTTAACCCTGTGATAGGCCTAGGCGGGTCAACGCAAAGTCATTTAGAGAAAGAGAGTGAGCTTGTAATATATAGCAATCAAATAGAACACATTGGCTTTTCTATGTAACTGCAAAATATGTTGGTGGTCTTATTGCCGGATAAAATCATAACATTTGCAGAGAGAAGTATATCATTATAATAATAATAATAATTCAAGGTTCTTATATACCGCTTTATCACAACCTAGTTCATAGGTCGTCTCAAAGCGGTTCACAAATTATTATCCATGGTTATAGGGCCTTTGCAACAGGTCAATATCTTTTTCATTTTGCTGCCCAACTACGTACTCATTTACAGCTGAGTAGACCAGAACAAGCGGCGTAAAGTATATAATTGTTCAATGATACAACACAGTGCCGTGGCATCACTCGAACCCGCAACTCTTCGGCCACGAGCCCGGCGCCCTACCACTAGACTACTGTGTCTATCAGAAGCATAGAAAATCAAGAACCTGAATCCCAGCATAAGTTTTCTTCAGTTGAAGAAAAACCCATGGTTCAAAACAATCAGGCAGGAGGACTTATACCAGACTGTGTTCAAAGTTGAAATGCTGTCAAATGATTTATAGAGCTCAATATCATTATATTACTGAAGACATAGAACGTACTTGCTATAAAGCCGAGCCACCGAGCGTGCTTCATGATGCGGTACTTCCAGTGAGACATGATGAGAAGTATGATGGTAGTTGTTATACATAGTATGCCCAAGATGATACACACGAAGGTCAGCAACCACTCAAGTCTCAGTGGACTTGTTGTGAAACACGTCTGGGGCTGGTTGTAGTTACTCAGACAGGACTCCATCAAACCGATATACGTACGACCTACAATTCAAAAGAGAAAAAAATATAGGCATATGGTACAAAATATCTAAATCAATAAAAAAAAACATATTTTGTTAAATGTATGCATGAAATTTTGAAAGACTCTAAGCCAATTACTGTTTTCAATGTTTACACTTGACGTTTTGACCATGTTACATAATTTGAGAAGGTAACTAGAAAGTCGGCTTGAGCATGGAAATCATGCTTGAACATGAGAACGGTTTCATGAATACTGGTCCAAATGTTAAGAGATTCGGTTTTAAATATTTAAAAGCCAAGTTCAAATTTGAATCCCCGTCTTCCCACTGCATTTTTATTCCATTTTAACCAAACCCTGCGATTTAGTATTTATTTCAAGTAAATTCAAAACCCAACATTTTTGTGCCAATAATAAATTGATGAAATTATTCGGCTCCATAACAAAAACATAACATTTTGTTTTGACAGTCGGGGGTCATGGCGCAAAACGAGGAAAAACACACCGTCCAGATGAAGTAGTTTATGTATGTAAATTACCTGAAAAAAGGGTCAAACTACGAAACCATCACCAATGTCATCTCGTTGTCCGAGTATATTGCATTGTTTATTTACGAAATACAGCTGAAATGAGATGCAGGGATGTCGGGGGGCATAATTTGAGTGCTTACCTCCGATATCTGATACAATCCAGTTCGGTAACGCAAGGCTTATCACAGCAAACACATCTGCTGTGAAGAACAGAGCCCCGGAAATGATACTGAGTCTATCCATATCGCTGTCGCAGACAATATTCAGGCTGTGAAAACCCCGTCTAGTATCTCAGCGAGCACCTGCCATTGTTGTGCACGTTACGGCCACCTATTGGAATAAAAGGTAGAGAGCAAGAACGACAACTCGTGGTAATAAAATGCGGTAGGTCTATGATTCGGCAAATAATAGTTCAAAATTAGAACGATATTTGATACAAAATTGTTTTGCAACCTTTTTTTGCTTTCATATTGGGAACATATATGTCTTGCTATTTGCATTAAACTGTTTTGTGACTCTCTTTATAAATCATGATTTAATCGTAAAGTTCATAATCCGAATTAGTGCATTTTTGAGATATCACTTCTTGTCATTATCAAACATTCACTATCTGCTTTATAGATGATTAAAACCAAGATAATACTTTAATTTACTTCTTGATAGGTAACTGCGGATGGCTATTTTTTTCTTATTTGCTTCTTCGACTTTCCGTTCAAATTTAAACTGCTTATTGTACAACATTTAATGGCCCCCGTCTCTAGACTACATCACGGTATTAGATCAGATCCGTGACTATATCTATGAATTATTTGGAAGAAAAAAATCTCTTAATAATTTTGATCTCTTGGATCAGAGACGTTTATAATACTGGCTTTATATGTCTCTGCTTGAATGTCTTAGTTTCAACTAGGGGAGGATAAGCTAGTAAAATGTAGATGGGAAATTCTTCATAAAAAACTTTGGGCTGGTTATCACACCAACCTTCTGTGAAAGGGGAATAACTCGTATGTACATACAGTAACGCAATGTGATGACACCGAGTAGGTTATTTCACACACAGGGTCCAAAAACCGAAAACAACACAGAAATTATAATCGTATTTCCTTCATATCTGGAAAAGTACCTATCTGTCTTGTTTTCAGATGACATTGGATCATTCTATATGTAGACGTAGTCAGTAGGAAATTTCAATATTTTAGTGTTCGTGTTAAATTTAATAATTAACAGTGTATTTCGTTTCAGGGTTACAAACTGCATTTGCGAAAAAGCCCCAAATGAGGAGAAAAAAATCATATAAAATTTGATTTCAATATAAACCTTTTGGCACATAAAAGACTTACTATCAAGTACTTTTTTGTTGGTAATAGTATATATTTATTCGGTTTTTTCTTTTTAGATTTTCAATTATTAGTTAATTGTACAAAATCATGTGTCTGGATTAACGTTGTGTCTATTCGAATGACGTCACCAGTAAATTTTACATGAAAATGAAAAAGTGATTCATTTGTATTTCAATAACAGAGTAACTGATAATGATAAGAGCATTACAAAACAGGAACAATGAATAATTTTGTATCAGGATTTTTAGAGAAATATTCAGCGTTGAGCAGCAAACCATTTCCAGGACTCTCTCGTTAATCTTATACGTAACGTTTCCGAAACTTTACATCGATCACTTGCATGCGGTGGCTAATTTGTGCCGTTCCGGTTATTCGTCTTTTCGCCTCGAAAAGAACTGCTTTAATGTCGCTGGTTTGCCCTGAAAAGACGACAAAATCACACGCAATATATCGACAGAAAACATGCATGCTTATAGGCCTAATTCTCGTCGTTACGGGATAGAAATCTTCGTTGTTTCGTCTGTTCACCTTTAAAATGAGACTTAATTAGCATTGATTCTCGTTGTTTCGTCGTTTCGCTCCAAGAAAGGAGAATTAAAAGTTACTAAACTTCGGCTTTTCGGGCGAAATTATATGAATATATACACAATATTTTCGTTAAATGAGACAGAGAAGTTAAAGAGCTCTTTCCGTTTATAAAATGATGATACACAGGTTGCTATATAAGGAGTTCTTAGAGTTATAAAAAAGTATTAATTTCATTTACGAAGGAAATTGTGAGGAACATCTTTCTATATGAGATTTGTTCATTTGTTTTCGGTTAAAGTCCTCGAAAGAGCCGAGGTCAAATGAAAATGGGTACCAGGGAGATATGACCAGAAGAAAGAGTAGGGNGGCCCCCCCCCCCCCAACCAAAACCTGATTGTTTTTAATAGGATGTACAACACAACAAACCAAACGCCCAATTATTCGGGTTTTCTCACATTAGTCGCCTCTTATGATAAAATGAAGAGGGGTACAACAGGTCTGTTCTTTCCTCGAACCTTTTGTTTAAACACATTTTATTTGATACAACCAACGACGTTTATTGGGCACAATTCCTTATAAATGATACACAATGATTTATTAGTGACAAAAGTACTCCCGTCTAAAGTGATCAATGCAAAGAACTTGATGAACATCGGAAAATCAACCAGAAATACATTGTATATATTTTTTGCTTTAGGGAGTGACATAACCGTAAACTTAGCAATAGTAATCACGTCTGTGTCTATTAATGAGCCAGCTAGCGAAAGACTGTGAAAAGTCCATTACGTAATTAATGTTAAATGTCAAAATAAGATATGTTTATTTGTTTATTAAGGTGTATTCCGTGTAGAGGGTTATAAATAAATAAAAGCACAAAACTTCCTGGGTTTTATCTTTGAGAGGGCTTTCGCTAGTGTTAGGTACCGATGGGTGGTTATAAATTTTAGAAGGCTGTTTAATGTTTTGTTGTCGGTTACGGTGTTTGAATGTTTCAACCTCGCTAAAATAAATATAGGTACAATTTATTGATTGGAATTCAGTAAAAAAAAAACCACAGCCGCCTAGAGATAGTAATAAACCTGTAGCAGTCGCGACACTTAGCGTAATACGCTTTAGACAGTCGCAACCTTTTGTGCAACGAAACTGTGACAGTCGCAACGCTATAAGCGTTATAAACGTGTGACAGTCACAATTCTGTGGCAGTCGAGACGCTTACAGCGTAATAAACCACAGGGACCTGGGAATTTGTTATAACTATATTTGGACCTAACCTAAGGTGTTCGGAGTAATTTTACATGTTTTATGTGTTTAGATCGACGTTCGGTAAAAATGACACCGCTATGATCATATAATCGAGAATGGGGGAAAGCTTTCGATGTCGATCTACGGGAAAATGCTTAGTACCATTGGAAAGATGCGTAATTTTTCTTTTAAAAACCTCCTATATGCACGGAAAATGTATTCTCCTTCCGCGGAAATGAACTCCGTTTCCTCCAAAAACACACGCCATTTCAGAGCTTCTCGGTTATATGATCATTGGGGTGTCATTTTTACCGAAAGTCGATCTAAACCCCTAACACATGTAAAATTACTCTGAACACCTGAGGTTAGGTCCAAATATAGCTGTAACAAATAATCAGTTTTGTTATACACCTTGTGACAGTCACAATGTTGTGGCAGTCGAGATGCATAGCGTAAACGTTCCGGCACAATCGTTTTATTACAATTTGGAGAGGACCTCCGAAATCTAGACGGACGCTCTAACCTCTTGAGCTTCCTGGTCGCCGGCAATTCGTCCCTCCTTCATATAAGTCTTCCTCCCAGACGACACCTGACTCTCTATATCAATGTAGTAACAACCACAGGGACCTGAGCATTTGTTACAGCTATATTTGGACCTGAACTAAGGTGTTCAGAGTATTTTTCATCATTTAGGGGTTTTCGATCGACTTTCGGTAAAATTGCCACCCATAATGATTAATTAGTCGATCTAAACCCCTTAAACATGTAAAATTACTCCGAACACCTTAGTTTAGGTCCAAATATAGCTGTAACAAATTATAAAGCCCCTGTGGTTACTTACAACCAATGACACCTCTGCAACAGGCAACAAATTGAGCGCCGGCGATCGACCCAGTCCAGTTCAGCTACATAATAAACGTCGCACCAATGACGTACCTGTCAATTTGTTATAAAACACCTTTGGTCTACGGTTCAAACCCACAGCAATCGATGCAGAAGTCAAGAACGCTTACCTCCAAGACACTCCAGCTGTTAATGAAAGTATTTATACAGACAAAACAAATCTCGATAGCATTTTGATTTCCCTGAATGGCGGGATTTCAATAGTCTGATAGAGCAAGACTTCCCCGGGGGAATAGTTCATTGAAAATCAAAAACATTCGATCACAATTATTTCACACCTATATTGAACGACTCTGATTTAAAAGGCTATTGTACTAGGTCATTTCGACGTTGATAAGGCATGAAATGAACTGATTTCTTTTAATAATGAACAAAGCACGTTACTTTCAACCGTGGGCCATTTATCTCAAAACTTGAAAGGTTGTTGGTCGATAAATATGTGACATGTCGTATACATAGCATGTTTTTTTTTTCTCTCTGTGGCAAGATAAATTAAAACGTGTTTATTTTACAACAATTATGAAACAAATGTTTCCAACTTATATTTATCAATCTTGTTAGCCCGGATGGAAGTGCACAGTGGTTTTATTGTGATAGGAAACCGGAATATCCGCAGAAAACCGACGTAGTTCGGCTGGTGACACAATACCTTTTCATGTCGGAATCAAACCCCGGTCGTCTTGGTGAAAGGCGAATGCGCTAGCCACTGCGCCACCTTTTTTGTTCACATTCGACCCCTAAAGGTATAGGTTGTGTTTGCAAAACAGAGAAAGAAAATCAACCGAGGCATCCCGGATTTAACGTTAACAGTACTCAACGCCCACACACTCGTAAGTCAGAACACGGATTTAGATAATAAAATTCCTCGATGACAGCTATAAATTGCATCATCTCTTGTTTACCTATTGTAATTTTCAAGGACATGCAGAGATGCACGTGTGAGAGTGTATGAGCGACCGACGGACTGTTGGGATCAATGTGGCCATGCAAACGGTCATTTTCATTTGTTGGGCATATAAGTCGAAAAATCCTTAAAAAAAAAGAAAAAGAAAAGAAAGAAAAAACAAGTGTACGTAGTTGTGAGTTCATTTATATATTTATATATTTATTTAAAAAAAAAGAGTTTAAATTCATCCTGTAATGTATGTTTTGTAAGTCTGTCATTTTGAAAATGTATGCAAGTTCTATTTTGATTCATGAAAAACAACAGAATTTAAAACAAAAACGTTATAACTCTGGAATTAGGTTTTAAATACGATCTGTAGAAATTCCATTTAAATAACTATGCTAAATTACACATGTTCAGTGCCGATTCGCCTGTAGCATCGCCGAAGTATTTCCAATGTATAAAGTAGAATGTCTCGATCCAAAAGCTTTTTTAATGATATGGTTGGACACGGAATTAGATTATATTTGCTATCTAAGTCCGTGGGTTGGATAATGTTAGCCATTCTATATTCAATCGATCTATTATCACAGAAAATGTCATATATAATTAGCGGGGGGAAAAAGCCCCGCGGCTAATTCCGGAAAACTATCGAATTGCACTGTACCGGTGATCACAGCGAGGTCACATTGCCTTGTTAGATAATACAGATCTTGACCCCAAATTCCATCAGTTCGACAGGTAATAATAATGAGTTATCTCCCCTCTTCTCCCGAAAAGTCTGACTCACCTGTGTTCAACTACACACACACACTACTACTAACACAACCGCCATAACTTTGTGGGCGCAGTGTCGTGGGGAATGGTGTAAAAGTACCGCATTCAAACTTTGCAGACTTGTGGCAGTCTAGATAATTTCGAGTTTCGATAGCGAAGGGGACCAAAACATGGAAGTTATTCCAGAACAGGACGATGTTAGACCGATACAAGAGCACGAGGACATGGTTGTCGACTCGGCCGAGGATGAGGTAAGTTTGTCATCTGTCAACATGTATAAAGGTGTGCTGGAGTCTTTCAGGTGTAACACCGGCAAACGAGCAAACCGCCATGCAAGGTCGTTATGAATGCGCGGAAATCGATAATTTCTGATTTAAAATCTAAATGCGATTGCGTTTATTTTCCAGAAAATTTGCTGAATAAGTTCGCCATTAAATGTATATTTAGATAAGTTGACCAGTTTGGAAAAGTTTCGAAGTTCAGTATATATAGTTGTGCAAACGATACGGTGTGGTATATTTCAGGGTGTGTATGTGATGTAATATATATCTCATGTTTGTGAATGAGTTTATTTGTGGAAACCGACATTTCACGTTCTGCAATTTACAACTATTGCAATACACATGCCTGTATATATATCTATCTATAATACAGTTAAAGGGAAAGTCCTTTGGGGGCCCCAAACGGGGTTACTGTGAACTTTATTGTTCATATTCTCATTTTAATATATATTCACACAGAAATTGTTGTTTGTTAAAACTTTGATATTTGAAGTAAAATTGTACTTGATCTTATCACTTTAATACACCCAGTCTAGTGATACATATATTTTCCCACAACTTGTGCAGACGTATATGTGTATATATATACATATCAAATTATGTCCAATCAGTTGATTTATGCAAATTGCACCATTTTATTAGTTGTTATAAACATATTTTCCCCTTTTTGCCAGTCAGTAATATACCTAATATAGCCCTAGGCAAGTCTTTGAAACCGAGGATGTGGGATGGTTTAGCCCAATTTCATTTTCCAACAATGCTAGTAGCATAATAAGATATTATAAAGATGTTGTTTTTATTGATAAAACAAATGTGTGGTCCTGCAAAACAATACATGCTTGAAATGTAAATCAGGATTTTTTTAATGGTTTGAGGTTAGGAGACTAAATTAAAACATTCCTTGAGACATTTAAATAAAGTTTCTTATCTTAGCACAGAAAGAGGTGGACTTTAAAATACTAGGTATTGTGTTTGTTGTAACCTATTGCATGGGCTTTATATATATATATATATACATAGATTATATTTATGCGTCCATATTGAGCAAATCCAGGATAATGTATTGTATAAGAAGATGGTTAAACTCCAAAATGATACATTACATATATATCACTTACCATTATATACATATTGCTTGAAAATGTCTCTAAAGTAAATAATTGAAGGTGATTTTATGTATCTCCATTCCATGTCTATGCCAAATGCCAAAAATAGTTTTTGTAAAACACATCTCTTTCAAATTTTGTTGATTCCATTGCATCGCTAAGAGATATAATGGGTCCTCAAAAATTTGGTAAGTTTCACAGGAAAAGAATGAGTCCATGGCTAGAACTCAAATATCGGATCCGTTCCTCCCCACCCGCCTTGGTCTTTCATATAGTTAAGATAAACATTGCAAGCAACATAATCTGAAAAATCCATCAATATTTGAATTAATTAAAAAAAAATAGGATGCTTTTATCTTATATTAATTGGAAAGACAAATATATATAGCATTTCTTTCATCAAAATGTTATATGCATCATAAAACAACATTCTGATGGGGGTTGTATTTAGAGTAAATATATAGTGTGACTCGTTGACCTCCGTGTTTAGTTAGCTTAGCTGTGTTTGTTTAGGTCACAGAGAGTATTTGTAAACTGTCGCTCATCTTTTGTTTGATAATTTGACTAGACTTGCTCAAGCCCTGTTTATCATAAATGCATGTTTTATTTAAATGTATATTTATATCTGATAAATACTGGCTTTCAGATTAGGCAAGTTCAGTTTGGATATGATGCATGTTTAATTCAAATGTAAATATAAACAGTCTGGGGATTTAGTTGAATATCTGATAAATACAGGCTTTTAGATTATAAGCAAGTTCAGTTTGGACAGGTTATGCTGTATTCTTTATGTAGGGGTGAATGATCTTTTAATGAATATATAATGTTTAAATTATTGTGCAATGTACAAGTATATATATATATAATTCATAAATATAAATAATTTAAGCCAACTTTGCATGAGAAAGGTTTTGCATATTATAACATCTCTGTTACCTGCATTTAATTAGCCAAAGCTGTTGTTTTTTTAAAATAAGAAAATGCTAAGACATAACCGTATGTTACAAAATGCGAACTACTATCTGTATAGAAGCTTGAATTTCACAATATCTTGGAATGACATGTAATAAATTTCTGCATACTTGAGGCTTGAGGTCGGAAGATCAGTATCTGGCCCTGCACCAAATATCTAGCTCTGAAAATGTCTGCTTGATGGTATAGGGCCGAATTACATCAAGACATACATCTTCATGGTAATCAGACACATATGATGCTTGTTACTGAGTTGGAAAGGGAATAAGACAAGGTTACCCTCTTGTCTAATGTTAATTTGTAGCCATATGTTGGTGAGGGAATGAGACAAGGCTGTCCTCTTGTGTCCAATCCATTTATTTAATAACACTCACTTCTCCTTCATCAAATAACTTGGAAGTGGTCTATTTATAACTTCTTTGCTCTTTGAAGTAATTCTGGCTTTGCTGACCATCCATTGGGCACTTAATGGTCATCAACTCGGCTCAAGATCATTGGACAACTTTCGACCCCCAAACCCTGGTGTAACTGGACCAAGATTTACAAAGCATTGTTAGATTAACAAAGTTTGTTGCTAAATGTTTTCCTTCAAACTTTTTTCAAAGATTTTCAAAGCATTGTTAGATTAATTATCAGAGTGAATTGGAAAATTTCCTAAGTTAGTTATCTTTTTTTATTCATTGTAATGACTGACAGTCATGAAAAAATAACAGCAAAGCTTTATAGCAATGTGAAAAATGAGTTGACATTTAACAGACATTAAATTGATTCATTTTCTACCCTGATACATTTTTTTTAGTGTGTCATTCTCAAGATTAAAAACCTGACCTATCTATAAAGAAGACAGATGTGTAGGGAACTCCCTGTGGAGTTTATAGTATACAGAACAGATTGGGTCCTATTCATATTTCTTATGATAGCAAAACAGCCAACACTTGCCACATTTCTGAAGGTGAACAGACATCCTTGGATGGCCACAAACCATGGAATTGAAACTGGGGCAACATGATATGGTGTAACAGGTTTCGAGATGGCCAAAAAAAAATTCTACTGCTAATTGTGTGTTTTATTGCAATTTTATGAAAAACTGGACAGGATGAACAATGTAAAGAAAATTACATCTGTAGCGATGAAAAGAAATATGTTGATTTTTTTAAAAAAGTATATTAGGTCATAACCAATCAAAGACTATTTTGTGAGCATAATTGTAAACGTGGTAAACAATATGAATGATTTTGTCAAAACTTAAAAAAATGATAGATCTGTATACGTAGCTACCTTGAATTATATAATAAATCAAATGTGATATCTGATTAACGAATTTCAAACGATATGATAGAAAAACTATTTTCTGGGATCAGATTTCTGATTACATCGGTTCAATTTACAAAGAAATGCATGTAGTAGTAAGATAAAGTTGGTCTGATTATACAGGTTTTTAAAATTTTCATTTTGACTTTAGGTAATACCACAGAGAAGTAAGAATTTCAAGATCGGGACTTTAACTTTTCAAAAATGAATTTTACGTAATTTTATAATATAAATTAACCTAATAATCATTAACGTTGAAATTAGGAAATTAATTTTGGATTTATATTTATCGGTTGACAGGAAACTGTTTTAAAGGTAATGTTATATGTATTGGAAGGTCATTGTGACCCCATTGAAAATAATTGTTATTTATATAACCAATTAGCAGGAATGAGGAAATGCATTTCATTTCCTGATTGTTGATAATATATAAGCGGATATATGATCGCGAGTACTTGATGCGTGTTGAAAAATACATATATATACCTACTCTTATAAATAATATACTTACTAGTTCAAGGGTCGGTTGTGTTGTGTACACCACAATACTCCGAGCAGATTAATGACGAAAACAATTGTACACATTTTGAAGGCTTAAAGAGATCGGATTTCTTTTCCTTTGAGCGTATACGCAATTGCTGACTGACTTTTCGAACAAGAGGCTTTTGTAGTGTGGTTGTGTTTATTGTTATAAGTTCGGGTGCTTTATAACGGTTATTTGAGGCCTGACAAAAGAACATTATTGCACTGTATCAGTGCATCTTAAAGACAGCTTTTAGATAATATGTTGGCGTTGTAAAATTTGTAGTACAACCAGGGGGAACTAGATGCATTTTAAGGCACGAAATATGATACCTGTCCCTGTTTCTCGAAATGCCTTAAGTATCCCCATACCATCGCCAAAAATTGTGACAGTGCATTATAACAATCTTTTCCCGGTATAACTAAATCTATGACAAATATTTTCTGTACTTTGCGGAAATCTTATGAAAAACACCCATTAAAGATGAAATATAAAAACAAATCGACAGCCTTCTGAATGAAAGAATGAAATGAGCCAGACCAGGGTTTGAACACTGGACCTCCGATTATTATACTGTATGTCTACCCAACTGAGCCGTGTGTACTTGATCAGTGCATGGTAGTACGAGCTTAAATGTACGGATATTTAATTTCGCAGGACTAATATATTGTGGCCTGTCATCAGAATTAGTTCATGGGGATTAAATATCACATGACATTGCCAGGTATATATTGTGCTCACAAGGGTACTTCTGTATTCGGGTGTTGGGATTTATTTTACAAGTGTTATATCAAAATTATATATATATGTATACTCACATTGTATTGATATTTGTTGGGTATTTAATTTCACAGTATTTTTGATGACCGCGAATATAGCAAAAAACTAAATCCCCACCAAAATTACCAACTATACAGTATATCCATTGGAATCAGGGGAGGTTACTGTATATAATAATTATAGTTTGAGGATCTTACATACCACTTTATCACAATCTAGTTCGTAGGTCGTTTCAAAGCGGTTTACAAATTATTATCCGTGGTTATGGGGCCTAATTT